TACTTACTTCAGCTTTGACCTTCCTGCCTCAAGCAATCCTCCCACCTCAGTCTCCCAATTAGCTGGGACCACAGGTACAAGCCACCACACCTGGCTAATTTTTAATTTTATTTATTTATTTACTTATTATTTTGAGATAGAGTCTTGCTCTGGGCCCACGCTGGAGTGCAGTGGTGCGATCTCGGCTCACTGCAGCCTCCGCCTCCCAGGTTCATTCAATTCTCCTGCCTCAATCTCAGGAGTAGCTGGGATTAAAGGCACGTGCCACCACGACCAGCTGATTTTTGCATTTTTAGTAGAGACTGGGTTTCACCATGTTGGCCAGGCTGATCTCGAACTCCTGACCTCAGGTGATCCGCCCACCTCAGCCTTCCAAAGTGCTGGAATTACAGACATGAGCCACTGCACCTGGCCCTGGCTAATTTTTTAAATTTTTGTAGAGATGGCGGGGGTCTCCCTATGTTGCCCAGGCTGGTCTTGAACTCCTGGACTTAATCAACCCTCTTACCTCAGCCTCCCAAAGTGGTTGAATTATAGCATGAGCCACTGCACCTGTGCAGGATGTCCCTTTTATCATAGTTAAAATCATACATGCAATAAAAGTTTTTTTTGAAACAAGGTCTTTGTTGTAGCCTAGGCTGGAGGGCAGTGTTGCAATCATAGCTCACTGAGGCATTGAACTCCTAGGCTCAAGTGCTCTTCCCGTCTAACCCCTTAATTCCCATCTAAGGACTAGATGCACGTGCCACCACACCTGGCTAATTTCTAAATTTTTTGTAGCAATGGGGTCTCACTACGTTGCTCAGACTGTTTTCAAACTCCTGACCTCAAACCATCCTTCCAAAGTGTTGGGATTGTAAGCATGAGCCACTGGGCCCAACCTCAGATGATATTTAAAATAATGTTGTCCATTCATTTTGTCCATTCATTTTTTTTTTTTTTTGAGACGGAGTCTCACTGTGTCACACAGGCTGGAGTGCAGTGGTGCGATCTCGGCTCACTGCAAGCTCCGCCTCCCGGGTTCACGCCATTCTCCTGCCTCAGCCTCCCGAGTAGCTGGGACTACAGGCGCCCGCCACCATGCCCGGCTAGTTTTTTTTTTTTTTTTGTATTTTTAGTAGAGACGGGTTTTCACCATGTTAGCCAGGATGGTCTCGATCTCCTGACCTCACGATCCACCCGCCTCGGCCTCCCAAAGTGCTGGGATTACAGGCTTGAGCCACCGCGCCCGGCCTTGTCCATTCATTTCTATGGACTCTGAAAAAAAAAATGACTTTGTCCAGTTTCCAACAAATTCTGTTGGGATATAGATTGGGATGGTTTTAAAATGCCAAATGAATTTTGAATAAATTGACATTTGGACAGTATCAAAGTCATAGCTTGTTTTTCAGGCATGTAGCACAATTTACATTTGTTCAAATTACCTTTTATTATCCCTTAGTAAAGTCTTTGTGCTGTATTGGGATGTCATCTTCTCATTTCTTTTTTTTTTTTTTTTTTGAGACGGAGTCTCACTCTGTTGCCCAGGCCGGAGTGCAATGGCACCATCTTGGCTTACTACAGCCTCTGCCTCCCAGATTCAACTGATTATCCTGCCTCAGCCTCCTAATTAGTTGGGATTACAGGCACACACCACCACACCCAGCTAATTTTTGTATTTTTAGTAGAGACAGGGTTTCACCATGTTGGTCAGGCTGGTCTCGAACTCCTTACCTCATGATCCGCGCGCCTCAGCCTCCCAAAGTGCTGGGATTACAGGCGTAAGCCACCACGCCCAGCCTATCTTCTCATTTCTTAACATTCTTGGGAAATACGATGAGCAAACTAGCATTTGAGTCCCTATTATCCTGATCATAAAGTGCTTTAAAATGTTTTTTCATTTAATTCCCACTGGCTGGGTGCGATGGATCATGCTTATAATCCCCGCATTTTGGAAGCCTGAGGCAGGTGGATCACCTCAATTCAGGAGTTTGAGACTAGCTTGGCCAGCATGGCGAAACCCCGTCTGTACTAAAAATACAAAAATTAGCCAGGCGTGTTTGCGGGTGCCTATAAGCCCAACTACTCAGGAGGCTGAGGCAGGAGAAGTGCTTGAATCCAGGTGGCCTGGTCCTGTAGTCTTAGCTACTTGGGAGGATTGCTTATGCTCAGGAGTTTGAGTTTACAGTGAGCTAAGATACCATTGCACTCCAGCCTGGGCAACAGAGCAAGCCTGTCTCAAAAAAGCAAATAAATAAATTTTTAAAAAACCAAAAAAACAAAAAACAGGCCAGGCACGGTAGCTCACGCCTGTAATTCCAGCACTTTAGGAGGCCGAGGTGGGCGGATTACCTGAGGTCAGGAGTTCAAGACCAGCCTGGCCAACATGGAGAAACCCGTCTCTACTAAAAATACAAAAATTAGCTGGGCATGGTGACACATACTTGTAATCCCAGCTACTCAGGAGGCTGAGGCAGGAGAATCGCTTGAGTCAGGGAGACAGAGGTTGCAGTGAGCTGAGATCGTGCCACTGCACTCTAGCCTGGCCAACAGAGCAAGACTCTGTCTCAAAAACAAACAAACAAACACCATCAACCGGGCACAGTGGCTCTTGCTTGTAATTCCAGGACATTGGGAGACCAAGGCGGGTGGATCCTTTGAATTCAGGATTTCGAGACCAGCCTGGCCAACATGGAGAAACCCCATCCTTACTAAAAATACAAAATTAGCTGGGCGTGGTGGCACATGCCTGTAATTCCAGCTACTTGGGAGGCTGAGGCAGGAGAATAACTTGAACTCCGGAGATGGAGGTTGCAGTGAGCTGAGATCACTCCATTTCCAAAATAAAACGATAGGGCTGTTAATTTAGGTGGTGGTTACAGGGGTATTAATATATGTAAAAAATTATTAAGTTGTACATGTAAGATTCCTGCACTTTTTGTATTTTATTATGTGTATGTTAATCTTAAAAATAAAAGGGGAGAAAAACCTGATGGCCCTGTACTCCTCTATTAGGTAAAGAAAGAATCTGTTCTGGTTTGCTTTTGGAGACACTGTTTCCTGGTCCTCTGATCTACCTGGCTGAAAGCACAGTGCCTGGTACAAACTAGGCTCCTGCTCAGTTTTTTTTTTTGTTTTTTTTGTTTTTTTTTTTTTGAGACGGAGTCTGGCTCTGTTGCCCAGGCTGGAGTGCAGTGGCCGGATCTCAGCTCACTGCAAGCTCCACCTCCCGGGTTCACACCATTCTCCTGCCTCAGCCT